ACTGACTGGACACTCCAGTACATTAACACTGCACTGAGAGAGAGGGGTTTATACAGACACACTGACTGACTGGACACTCCAGTACATTAACACCACACTGAGAAAGAGGGGTTCATACAGACACACTGACTGACTGGACACTCCAGTACATTAACACTGCACTCAGAGAGGGGGGTTAATAGAGACACACTGACTGACTGGACACTCCAGTACATTAACACTGCACTGAGAACGAGGGGTTAATAGAGACAGACTGACTGACTGGACACTCCAGTACATGAACACTTGACAGGTCATATCAGTTACTGAGTGGATGTGATGTCTGTTGTCTGGGGTTCTGTCCAGTATACCCACAGAGGGACTAGAGACCCTGGAGTTATAGCCATCGTCTCAGCTGGCACCCTTCAAAACAAGCTTAACAAATTGATGAATTAATTCTCTTCTTACCTTCTGTCGTGCTCAGGATCAGAATCCAAAACAGCAACGGGAGGAATAGCATCTTCATCTTTCAAACGTCTTACTGGAGAAAGAGGACTGAACCCCCTCAACTACTGCTGGACACTGAGGACTGACCCTCCTCAACTACTCAATGAACACAGAGGACTAATTTACTGCTGCTACCCCACCAAATCTCCAGTGAGACTGTCTGACTGCAAGAGTCTTTCCATTTTATAGGGTCTTCATTGTGGGTGACAGAGTGTGACCCAGTTTCTGAGGAAGTTGAAGATTAAAAGATTTTCAGAGAAAGGAGACTGTCACACCATTTTCCAAACAGCAGTAAAACATTTCATATTTCTGATGGTATCTACCCCCCCCCCCCCCCAGGCACCCAAAAAACCCATAATGTCTATATTAACCACCTACTAATAAAAACTCAAAACACCAACCGCATGTGATGTTGTCTGTGTCAGCAGATCACACACTGTCATGATGATGATAATGAGAAGGAGTAGGATGAGTAGGTTCTGATGACGGTGGTGATGATAATGGTGATGATGACTGTGAGGATGCAGAGGAGAACATAATGGTAATGAAAGGTGATGCTGATGCTGATTGTGCTGATGACTTTAATTGTGATTCTAACGATCAGAATAGTGATGCTGGCGATTTTGGTAATGATGATGATGAAAAAGACAGAGACCTCCAAGCCTCCAATCCTACATTGAATCAGATCCTCATGGGGAGGAGCAGTGGCACTTTGGCTAAGGATCTGCTCCTGTGTTGGAAGGTTGCTGGTTTGAATCCCGTGGCCGGCAGGGGGATCCTTCTCTGTTGGACCCCTGAGCAAAGCCCTTAACCCCAGCTGCTCCAGGGGTGTCATATAAATGTCTGACCCTGCGTTCTGATCCCCAGCTTCTCTCCCTGTCTGTGTGTCTCATAGAGAGCAAGCTGGGGTCTGTGAAAAGACAAATTCCTAATGCATGCAATTGTATGTGGCCAATCAAGTCATCTTATCTGTATTAGGATTTCATTCACTACATTTAGGTTTCATTCCAAAACCTGCAACCCAAATGTGTTGCAGCACATTTATCACATTTATACAACAACCAGTGGAGCCTTTAAAGAAATGAAATCTTGAAGCTCACTGAAAGATCTGAGAGATCTTGCTGAAAAATGTGACACTAGGTTACAATATCTTCTAAGTTGGATCAGGGGTGGGGTGTGTTGTAAAGTGCTCTGCAAAGACACAATCTCAAAGGATTTCCATCTACAAACATATTCCTTAAGACCGTACCAAGCACTGTTAGATGTGAGACCGTCCTAACTCAGGGTTACTGCAGGACTATACTGCAGTATAGGATGCTTTCTAGAAGGCAGTGGTCTCCAGTCATCTTAAACACAAGATCGCAAGTCAATGCTTGATTGCAGTTTTATTGAGCTGAACCCGGTGCAACTGATGTCTCCCAGCAGGCAGAACAAAATCAAGGAGCAGAGTCACACCAGAGAGAGAGTAAGGAGATAACAGAGTTACCAAGTAATAAACACACGCAACAGTTAACAGGTGGTAGAGAGGAGGATCAAGGGAGACAGCACAGCAGTTGGTAAAAACTGCTGATCTGAGGGACTTGAAAAATGTAAGAGTATGACTGTGCCAGAAAGTCAGGAGGGGGAGCTATCTGCAGGCCTCAGAGTTGAATGTGATACTGTATCCAGTCCCTGAATCTGGACTGCTAGAGTCTCCCTGGAGAGTGAGAGCAGTCAGTGACACAGATGCCCATTTCTCTCTGGATTAACAGATGATAACTGGGCCTGGGGTCCAGGTTCCTATTAATCTGGACTGAAGAAGACAGTACAAATACTCCCCCACTCCTTCAGCCCCCTCCTGTCAGTATGTGCCTCCTGTTCTCAGTTTTAATTTGGGCAGATATTCTCACTGCTGAGAGAGACATCGACAGTTACCAGCTAAACCAACAGTTCTATCCCCCTGACCCTATATAAACTCTATATTTTCTCTCTATACTGCCTGATCTATACGCTCCTTCTCCAGGATCACAAAGAACTCACATCACTCCATAGCAGGAAATCAACACAGCAAAACTCTGAGTTCTTGTAGGGTACAGTGAAACGGACACCTGCTGAAGTGAGCAACGCTCCCCCCCCCCCCCAGCCTGTAGCCCAGCTCTCCGACAGCTGGGTGCAGTGGTCAGAGTGGGATGTACCCGGTGTGTGTGTGACCGGGCGGTCCAGGGAGGTGCCAGACCCATTCGTCTGTGCTGTGTGTCCTTTGGGGATGGCCCTCTGCGTGCAGCTCGCCTCTCGGTGGTCTTTACCAGCAGCACCAGAGATTTACACAATCTGAGGAGCCAGGCAGTGCAGGGCAGGTGCCCAGTGCAGGAGCACAAACCCGCTCACCTCTACGCCCTGGTGCCGGGGCACGGTACCGTCTCGGGCAGCCTCAGCGCCCTGAGCTCCAGTGCTTAGTGCCTGACTTGACAGTCTCACCAGCCGTTTCTCATGAGAAAAAACAGCTGCTCAGGATGTGGAGAAGGCGCTAATTCAGCAGAACCAAGCGATATGATTAAAAGATACAAGGGGCTGCTATAAACAGGAAACTGTGGCTTTTTGATTTAGAGATAAATTTATCTATAAAAACCATATATATGACCACCGAGACCCTTGCAGGGTGTCTGGGGGCAGTTCTGCTTTCCTCCTGCCAGCCCAGACCACAGCACTCTGGTGCCTGTGGATCTGGTACCTCCTGGTGCTGGTACCACCAGACACCACCTCTGTCCGCCCCTCCTCTCAGGATTACTGGTTTCTGAAATCTCCAGAGGGACCCCTCTCACATCCAAATAAGCAGCTAGCACACCCTTGTGGAAGAGTATTTTCTAAATAAAATGGACTGTTTAAGAAACAAAAGAGTGGAAAATGTGGGGGGAAAACGTTCCTTATTGATACTGAAGAAAGATATGAGATGTGAAAACGGGGTTAACTGACTTCTTACTCCACAAAGACTTCTTGTAACACAAGACGTTCCAAGTGCTTAAGCACTTTTGAGTTATGGCAGGGATGGGAGTCAACCGATAAGAGAATCCAAGTGCAAGACAGAGACCCCCGAACTACGGAAAGATGAAACCGGCCATTCAAAGCGCTCGAGGTCTGGGGAACACCCAGACACAGGTGACCTCCCCCCGTTACCGCGGTAACAATTTGCGCCAGAAAACAGCTGACGTTTGCTCTATAAACTGGAAGTTTTGGACCTCTGTTCCGAACAATACTTTGATCGGATTGTTCCTTGCATGCAAGAAACTCAGTTGTTTCAACTTCATCTCGGGACCCAGAACTTATTTGTCTGTTATAACAATACCGAAGGATGGTTTTTATATAGCTGGAGAGTACAAATCCACTGGAGACCTTTTTGTCTAGCAGAAGTATATTGTATATTGTACATTGTATATTGTACATCGAATATTGTATATCGTATATCGTATATTGTATATTGTATATTGTATATTCGGCCAAAGGGAAGCACCCTCCCTGCAATTAGGAGGATGGTTCTAACACAAAAAGCTACAGCTGACCTTTGATGCACTTACTTGATAAGGAAAACAAAGAGCTTGAGTTTCAAAAAGGAAAACTTCAATCGTATTTAATGTCTCTCGGTGAAGCAAACTTCTACCTCAATCATAAGACGTCTGTGTAACCGAGCGACTCAATGTCAGTGTTTTCTAAAAGCAGGCAGCTGCCATTCGGCCTCCTACACAAAAATAATTCTTTGGGATTCTAAAAACACACCTTCTGTACACCTTGTGTACAGGTCTCATCAGCAGCAGACACATGTAACGTTGCAGCGGGCACCTCGCTGAATGTGGTGTACATAGAGTGAATTTCACCCTTCGTAGCTTTGATGTAACACCATGATCATCTCAAAGGCATTGTGACCCTAACACTTGTCATCCTACGCCTGACGCGTTTTCTGTGTAACCTAGGAGGGATTGCACAAGTCCGCTGCACAAATCCTCCTTTATCATCACAGGTGTCCTTCAGCACCAGGGGTCCCCAATTATGCCTCTGGGAACCCCCAAACATGCTAGAGTTCTTAATGCATTAGTGCTCAGTTAAATAATTGAACCCTTAATAGACCTACTATAATACTCTTAATGACAGACTCCTTTTCTTCTAAATTCTCTCTATTCATTGTAGGTTTCATTTCACACCTCTCTTCATCTATCCTGACTTCACACCTCCTGATTGGCCTCTCTTTCTGTCCCCTGCTCCCGCCTCTTGCTCCTCCTCTCTCCCAGCTTTTGTTCTCCTGCTACATGACCTTTGCCCACTGCCCTGTCTTCCTCACACCTGAAGAAGGCTCCACGGCCAAAACATTGTGTTTTCCCTCTTCTTTTTTTCAGCAGGAATAAACCTATTACTTGTAACTATAACACTGTATAATACTGTAGGTCTGATTTGTTTAACGGTGTTCACTTCCTAAACACTTTCTTAAAAGCTGAATACTCCTACTGCCTTTCGTAAGGGTCTTAAAAATGTACGGCAGCGAAAAAACAGAAATTGTAAGGCTTTGGTCCAGGTGACCCGCTGGTGCAGCCAAGGCCTTGCTTAAGACAAGGGCTCAGCTGTATTAAAAACCAGCAGGGGTGATCCCCAGGAAGGACAGCGCCAGGATTGGGGAACCCCTCGACCAGAGGGAAACATCCAACCCAGGCGTCCTGAAGAACCCCAGTTCAACTTGGGGGTTTGGCTCCTGTGACCCCAAGAACTATAGACAACAGTCTAACACAGCTCTGCATCAGTGTCTCGTCCCACCTGGAGATAAGGAAAAAAGACCAAGCCTCAGAATAAGCAAAACTGCCTCATCCAGGCTGGATGATGCAGCTGGCAACCGGATCTTCTCTTTTCATTCCTTCCTTCACCAGTGAGTGGGGGACATCTGATAAAAAAAAAGAAAGCCCCAGGGGAAGAGAAGAGCAATGCTCCATCTAGTGGCCAACAGCAGTAAAACAGATTGGAGACCCACAGGAGGAGGGATGTCTGTAACGCTCTTCCCACCTGGATTTCAACCACCTGAAAGAAACGCTACCCGGCCAACTTGTTGGTTCAGTTAAGGGTGTTTAAGTCAAAATTGTGTATGTGTGTGGGGGGGGAGGGTGTCCCCTGGACCAGTATTGGGAACCCCTGCACAAGACAATGCTCCGGAGACGCACAACACCAAGTGAGGCCTCCGAACGAGACGCCTCACCTGGATATTTATTTCTCCCGACACCTTCGTGGGTACCCCCAGCCAGTGGGGTCCTTCTGTCAGGAAGAGAAGAAGATCGCCTCCTGGGAGAGAAGCAGGGCTCCATCTAGTGGCTGGTGGAAACAGAACAGGTCCAAGACATTAAAGGACGGGTGGCCTTAATAATGGAAGTGATTTTATTATTATTATTATTCCTTAAACTTATATAGCACTTTTCTGGATACTCCACTCAATGCACTTTACAGGTAGTGGGACTCCCCTCCACCACCACCAGTAGAACAGAGTGATGAAGCCAGTTCAGAGAGGGGGGTTATTAGGGGGCCATGATTGGTAAAGACCAGGGGGAAAGTCAGCCAGGACACTGGGGTACCACCCCTACTCTTTTTGAGAAACGCCCTGGGATTTTTAATGACCACAGCGAGTCAAGACCTCGATTTTACGTCTCATCCAAAGGACAAGCTTTTCTTGGGTCTCTCCTGGGTTTTGTTTTCACCTGGGGAATGGAATCCCGGGAACTAGGAAGGTTAGGAAGCTGGAAGACAACTCTGGAAGGAAAGAAAAAGAAAGGAGAGTAGAGCAGTGAAAGGGGTAGACAAGCAGAGAGCCACCCGGATCTGTGACTGTGCTCATCTCCAAGGTCTTCCATCCGAGTAAGGAGTAAGGACTGCTAGGCTGCTGAGGAAGGAGTGCTGATGCAGTTCGTGGACCCCGTGCAGAGCCCAGGACGCAGGTCAGAAGAGATGTAAACTGGGAAAGTAATCTGTGCTACCAAAGCCAAACCGCTAGATGGGAAACGAAGTCAAAGACAGGTTCCGAATTCAAGACCACTAGTAATATTAGAGAGAGCGAGGCAAGGCGTGCCTAAGGAGCTACCAGTACCGAGCAATGAGATGAGAGTGGGAGAGGGTTTAAATCTGTCTGGATATGGGGAGTGGGGTAACCAGTGAGCTGTTGTGACTGGTTAATGGGTCTGATCGGCGGCGTCTGCGTTGATCGCCTGCAGCTGGGGCTTGACTGGGGCGAGACCGTTTGCGCGGAGGATTCCGCTTAGCAGCGGGTCTGACAGGAGGCAAGAGCTGGAACCGCAGGGAGAAACAGCCAGGTCACAGCCGCGCAGAGACTGTCACGGGCGTCCAAAGGGACTAACCGTGGGGAACAGGAGAGCAGAAAAAGACCCATATGCATAGCGGCGAGACGGGAAAAAGGCCCGGGCTCATTAGTGCAAAGAGTTCAGGAATGCCATATAGAAACCTATGCCCTCAGGGAGCGGACGTGGGGCGCCCCGGTGCTAGGCGGGTCTCAGGACATCCGAATGCTGAGCGAGGACAGAGTGCAAAACCCGGAAATATATAGCCCAAGGGAAAGAGAGGGACCGGAAGGACAATGGAGGGGAAACTAGGGACAGGACAGAGAAGGAGCATCCTCTGGCTGCAGAGGGCGTGACAGAGACGGTCAGGAGCGCTGGGATCGCAGGGAGACACGGCATGGTCATAGCCAGGCGGAGACGGACCAGAGCACTGGAACCGCAGGGAGACTCCACTTTGAGTGGAGTGTCCAGAAAAGTGTTATATAAGTGTAACCAATTATTATTATTAGTGCTGTCATCGGAACCTTTGCCTGAACTGAAGATGCAGCTGCCTCTAGCTCTAGATGTAGTGCATCTAAAGTGACTTCTAACCTGGCTTTCTTTGTTATTACAGCTATCTCTTTCTGAGCAGAGAATGCCTGGATTCCAGTTGCAGGCTCTGGCTGCTGCTGCGCTAACTGATCTAGATGACGAGCTGGAGCCTACGGAGATAATTTAGGGATGCTCACCAGTCTTGTGCCTATCCTCCCTGACAGAATAACACTGGAAAGCTGCAGTCTACAAGACTCTCCTGCTGTAGAAACTTGCTCTTCCAGCTGGGTTTGTGCTTTTTCCACTGAACAGTCCCACCCCTCCCTTGTGTGTTTCTAACACAATTCGACCGACCCCCAGGCACCATTCAAAAATGACACTTTAGTCAGAATTCCAAGCTCCTCTCTTTATTTCAGCAAACACCAAGCATGTAAACGTAGCATTAGGAGAGAAACAAAAAAGATACAGAATAAAACTCGATTGCACGATTGATATAGATTGCATCTGGTATGCTTTACGAGTTGAGATGTATCTTCTGACATCTTTTGCTAACAAAAGATATCTGCGGCACCATTCCTATGAATGTCAAGAGTGGTATAGCTGTTCACATTTACTACATACACCAAAAACAGAAAGTTTGGAACAGAACTATACAACTGTTGAACACTACGAGATAAAATCATGAATGCATCTTTACAGGCAATGCTCCTGAGGGCATAAACAAGGAGGAAGGCAGCTAGCCACTTGCTGTGCACTCTACCACAACAAACCTTTGAGGAGTTCCTGTCCGTCAAGTTGTAGTGGTAGTAGATGTTGTAGTAGTAGTAGTATGGGTTGTTGTAGTAGTAGATTTTGTAGCAGTAGTAGGTATTGTTGTAGTGGTAGTAGGTGTTGTTGTAGTAGTAGGTGTAGTATTAGAGGGAGCTGTGTTCAGTAGTTCAACAGAAGTAGAGGCAGAAGTGGTCACTGGTGTAGTAGTAAAGAAATCAGCGTTCAGTAGTTCTGTAGTTGTAGAGAAATCAGTGG